TGTTTTCCTTCTCAAGGGGCCTTTTCAGGGCAGCAGAAGCAGCCCTGGTGGTGATAAAGCCTTGCAGCACACCTGTGAGAGGGGCTGAGAATGGAGGGCACTGCTTGTGCTGGGTGATAGCCCCGGAGTTCAGGGAGTCTGTAGCAAACCTGGTCCAAGTGCCTCGTGATAAGTGAAGTCTGTTCCCTGGGGTGCAAAGTCCCTGGCTGCGTGGCCAAACTGATACTGGGGCTTTGCTGAGCTTATCTCTAAGGAGAACTGAAGGGGAGGCAAGTGGGCTGGTGGGGGAGGGAGGTGGTGCCCCAAAGCCCATCACATCTTGGTGAGCAGAGGGTGGGGTGTGTTCTCAACCTGCAGAAACGACTGTGACAGCAAATTCCTTCTTGGGGCACCTCCTGAACACAGGAGGATCAACCCGGGGTGTTGTGCCAAGATCCCCCCGGTCAAATGGCTTTGTTCTGAGTATCTGTGCTGCTTTCCCCCTCAGGCCTGGACTCCCGTGGGTTTCTCATAGGCCCCTCCCTGGCTCAGAGACTGGGAATTGGCTTCGTGATGTTACGGAAAAAGGGAAAACTTCCCGGGCCGACCAAGTCGGTCTCCTATGCCCTTGAGTATAGCAAGGTAATGCCTGGGGAGGAGAAGAGGGCTTCCAGCCTGGTTGGTGGAGGGGTGTTTCAGTGGGGAGATGGGGTGATAAACCCAGCAGGGGGGTCCTCAAGGTGGGCTTTGCTTCAGGAGAAGCACTGAGCTTTGCCCAGCACGGCAGCTCCTTCCCGAGCCAGGGACACTGGCTGGAGTCAGTGAGCAGTGCTGGGATCTTTATTTTTTTTGGGGGGGGGAGGAGAGGTGATAAAACTTGGTGCTAAATTGCTTTCTTTGGCTTGAATTCAGGGACATGAACACGGAGTGTGTTTCCCACTCTTCCAGTAAGTGCTCTGAGTGCTCTGCCTTCCCTGCACGGCTTCGAAACAGGGCGCTCGCCCGGTAACCCCACGGCCTCTCTGGGGCAGAGCAGAGCTGGGAGGCTTCATAACACTGGCAACTAACAGCAGCAGGAACACCAAACCTGGGCACTATTTATGAGGATTGTTTGGGCCAACCCCTGCATGGGACAAGTTCATCTGATGCAGGACATGCCTGTGAGGGTTTGGATCTAGCACTGCCGTGCTGCCGAGGCAGAGCGCTCCAGCCCGCAGCCTTACAGGAGATTTTCCTCACTGTGGAGCTGCTCTGGGTTCAGGTTTCACGATGGGACCATAACTCACTTGATGATTGTTCAGAATCTTGACGTGCCAGAGGGTTGGCCCAGCAATCACCTAACCCACCGTGTGTTTCCGTGGCACTCCCCTGTAGCTGGAGTATGTGGGGTTTTGGGAGCTTTTAGGTGCTGAGTGTTAAGGTTGATCTCACAGAAGACTTGTCTGCATCTCACCATGTGTTAGCAGTTTGTGGAGCATTTCCCTGTAAGGCAAGACTAAAATGAAGCTGCTCTTTCCACCTTGCAGGCTGAACTTGAAATCCAGCTCGACGCCGTGGAACCAGGACAAAAAGTGGTTATTGTGGATGACTTGATTGCAACTGGAGGTAAGAGGAGCAGAGAATGTTGGGGCGTGTGTGGCCCCCAGACATGTGTGTTGGTGCCAGCAGGAGTGGGGTTTGAAGCCTACCTTGCTGCTGCTCCTCCAGTGATGCTGTTCCTGCTCACTCTGTCTCATGCAGGTACCATGTGTGCAGCCTGCGAGCTGATGCAGGGGCTGAAGGCTGAAATCCTGGAGTGCCTGGTGATCATTGAATTAAAGCTCCTGAAAGGGTCAGAAAAGCTCAAGTCCATCCCTTTCTACTCCCTGCTGCAGTACGACTGAGGAGGAGCTGGGAGAAGGGAACACACCCCGTGAGCTGAGCATGAGTTTGGGTTTTATTTGGTGGCTTTAAATTTCATGAGGGGGTGGGCAGGGTGGGGAACACACAATTTTGATCCTGGCCAGATGCTTTACAATCCTGTTTATTTTCCAAGACACAGGTTAAGGTGTGTTGAGTGTAAGGATCCTTTTTTGCAGTTCATCCTTTTGAGAAGAAGGAACAGTCTGATTGTTTTGAGGGGGGGTGGAGACCAAGATGCAGCTTCAGTTTTTGTTGTTAGGAGACCAAAGTGAAAATATTGCTGGAGGCAGGAGAGGTCTGGTGGCTTTGGGGGCCCAGCATTCCCTTCACTGGGGCCGTGCCTGTTCAGCCTCCCAGCAACCTGATGGAAGTTTGCCAAAGAAGCACAGAAAGTGGACACAAAGTGATTATTTGTCTAAGTGATAAATTCCTCTGGGTTTGCCCTCAGAGGGTGGTCTGGTCACTCTCTGCTGTTGCTGACACTAGAATAGGTTGCCCTTACATTGAGGCAGTACTTGCTAAGAATTAGGCACCTTGCGGCATCAGGACATGGAAAATACAATGCTAGTTTGGAGCCCAGTCTTGTTGGGATGTCTGGTGTCAGGTAAAGCCAGAAAAGGTGTTTTCTGTGCTTGCAGTTGAGCTCCAGCAGTCTCACTCAGGTTGTGTGATGGATGCTGTGGTTTGGAGGTGCTCCATGGTTCAGTTTGGTCTCAGGAGTTATTAAAACCCATTGTGCCAAAACTTTCATGTGCCTGGTAACGTTAGGGACTAATTAGTCCCTGTTCTATCAGGGGCTGAACTCACTGGTAAAATAAATGTCAACTTATTTTTATTTTTTCTAAACTGTCTCAGAGCTGTTCTTGCAGTAGCTGAAGCTGTTAAGTTACCCTGGTGTGCTCCAAATCCAGGCTGTTAGTGGAGAGCAAGGCTGTGCTGTGAGCTCTTACCTCCCCAAACGCTTGGAAAATCCATCTACCAGGACTGACCGTTCAAGTATCTTTTCTCCATGCCTGGCACCAGCCTCAGGACCCAGACTGGTCCTGCTGGGCTGCAGTAGAAATGCCCAGTGTAGACCAAACCCCCTGCAGCTCAGCTCAGCCCCCATCCAGCACACAGGATGCCTTGCACTCTCCCCCTTAGACTTGTAAGGGCTCTTACAGCTATTTTTACCAGTTTCCTGAAAAGCCATTTCAGTGGCTGCTCAAGTCAGTGCTGAGAACACCATTCCCCCGGGGAAGGAAAAACCTCCCCCAGGGCACTTCCTTTTGCAGGCAGCCCCTGCACAGAGCCAAGGCAGGGCAGAGCCAAGGGAGGCAGCGTGAGGCACAGGAGGGAAAATAATCAGTTCCACCCCAAAGAGCTGTGAAAAGCAGCTGCCTGCTGTGGCAGCAAGAGTCAGCCCTGCCAGTGCCAGAGCTGGCTGTGCCCAGTGCCAAGGGACATCAGGGCTTTGTGCTGGTGGGGCTGGGAGCAACTCCTGATGGAATTGTGTGGAGACAAGGCTGTGCAGGGGCAGCTGCCAGGTTGGGGGGACTTCTGTCCCAAGGAGCAGGACAGAAACTCACTGTGAGCTCCCCTGGGGCACATGTGTGCCTGCCAGGATGCTGAGACCAACTCCTTCTCTGGAGGGCAGCTCCTCTGGGAACCAGCTCCTCTGGAGTGCGGCTCTTCTCTTCTCCACTGTGGTCAGGTCTGTTCAGCCTGGCCAATAACCCAGCCTGCACCCCAGCCCTGTGCATCCCTCTGGCCTGGATTTAAACTCGGCTCCCTGGAAACAGGGCTACCTCCTGCCAGCAGTGCTGGCCAACTGGCCTGCACCATGGCAAGCAGAGGCCTGGAAGAGGAGGGCCTGCCTGCTCCCTTGGGCAGCACTGCAGGGATCTCAGATGCTGCCAGCCCCCAAAACCAGCACCGCAGGGAACTCAGATGCTGCCAGCCCCCAAAACCAGCACTGCAGGGATCTCAGATGCTGCCAGCCTCCAAAACCAGCACTGCAGGGATCTCAGATGCTGCCAGCCTCCAAAACCAGCGCTGCAGGTGGAAAAGCTTCCCTGAACCAGTATGATTGTGTCCCTGTCCCCTCCCCCACAGAGGGATGCAGGATTCACCTTTCCATGGGTGTCCTTGATATCCCCCACCAAAACCAGCCCTGTTTGGGTGGGACAGTGGCGTGAGATGTGCCCAGGGCAGCTCCCACCTCCTCCCTGCACCCATGCTGCAAGCACTGACCTGACCTGGGCACTGGGCCAGGCTGGCACTCCCGCAGCCATCAGCACCCTCTTTGTCCCTCTTCCCAAACCACTTCAGCTGAGCAACCTGGGCTCTCCTTTGGGACAAGGACCCCCCTGCACCCACCCCAGCCCTGCCTGCTCCCCTTCCCACCAGGAGCTGCTCTGCAGCCCCTATTCACAAAGGCTGCATTCAGCTCCCTGCACACCCACGCTCACTTTTTCCAGTAAGTCTTTCTCCAGGAGCTGGATGATGACCCAGCCCTTCCCTGCCTGTGCTGGCCAGGGCCAATTGCCATGGAGAACCACGGAGCTAACGCGGCACAGGCAGCTCACGGAGGAAGAGCACTGGGGCAACACAAGGCAGCTATATTTAAAACATTTAATACCGATATGTTTTGACAAGTCCTGTAGCTGTTTCCAGCCAGAGCTGGTTTTTCCTTCCCTTAAAAACAGAACAAGGCCCAGAACTCCAAAAACATCAACTTATGACTTCTTCTCTCACTCCTTCCTACCTGTCATCCTCTTGTCCTGCCTCCAACCCCATCAGGACCCGGTTAATGGAAGAAACCTCCCTGTATCAAATCTTCAGGAGAATCCTGGATCAAACCTTCAGGAGAGACCAGCAAAGCCAAGAAGAGGTGACAAAATCCACTGCTTGCTTTGTCACCCCAGGACACAGGACTGCCTGCCTGCAGCTTGAGGGTTAGAGGAGCTACAGTCCCTATGGACCCTGGTAGAGGAATTGGTTAAATTAAGGGTTTTTGCTCTTCCTCAGACATCCCTGAGGATGACCCTCCCGCCAGCCCACACCAGTCCCCGGAGCACAGTCGGGATTTGCTACATGTAGAGGAGATGGAGCAGGGGAAGCCTCGACCCTGGGGGATCTCAGAGGGCTTCTGCCTCCTTCACGGCCTTGGCCAGCCTCTCGGCGATGAGGCCGAGGTCCTTCCCCTTGTCCAGCTTGATGTAGGTGTCTGTGCTGGTGACGTGGATCCCCACCCAGTCGGGCAGCAGCTCTGCGAAGAGGCGCAGGTGTTTCTCCATCTCCCCTGCATAAAGAGAAGTCCCCAGGTCAGAGCTCAGCTCTGCAGCCCCTTCCTCCTGCAACCCCCCCAACGCTGCGCCAGCAAGGAGATCCTTCCCTTCCCCTTCCCCTGGCTTTCCTACCGGGAGGCATCTGTGCGTTGTAGCTCTCAGCCATGCGTGCACAAGCCACCTCCATGGTCAGGGCTGGCTTCTTCTCAGCCACGAAGACGTTGCGCCGGACGCGGGCCATGGGCGGC